TACGTTGTACCCTTGAGAGACTCATTTCATTCAAATCAGATTATTTATTACCCATCACAAGACAAATATACCAATACTCAAGCCCTAGGTTACCAGTATAATCACCCCTCAAATTTGTTTGAACTTAAACATGGTTTCAACCTTAAAATTAGCAGCCTGGCTTGAAATTTACACCCGAAACAGAAACCCACTTTAGCCAAAATAGTCTATCTGCATTCCTGATCAACCTAATAATCACAACTATAAAAAGAAGCAAAACCCACTCTTTGGGAGTTCTTCCTCCTCTCTTTAGCTCTACTTGCACTGTAAAAGCTGATGCTACCTGGAATTCGACCACCAAGACACAAGGGGTCAAAAGCACGAGTAAGGCCCTTCCAATCCAGCATCCAGAGGTCATATCCCATGCTTTTGAATATCCTCCCACTTTCTAAAGGTCTCTCTGGAAGCAAGGGAACAACAAGGGAAAACTAGGACCACTGGGATCGAAGAATAAAGCAAGGGATAAACGGCTGCTACTGAACTACTAATTCCAGGAAAAATCTCAACACTTATTCCAGTCTGTTAAAAAAGACCAAAGTTTTAACATCTATCACAAAAAAAAACAAAAAAAAACAAAAAAAACAAAAAAAAACCTGACTCAAAAACAACGAAGTGGTAATTTTAGTTAATTTGCCCTCAGCCCAGATACCCCATAAAGCTAACTAATGAGTCACAGAGAAGATGCCTTTCTGATAAATAGGATTACAACATCTCCCAAACAAAAGTATTTGTTTAGGCACTGAGAGCAGTGCTGATCTGCAAACAACAAATTCAATTCAATTAAAAAAATAATAGACTTAAGTCTTCAGACCAGATGCACTCTTGCCCCAGGTGGTGTACAGGAAGTGAGCTTGGGTCTTAGTGAGACCTGGTGAGCAGGAGTTCTGCAGAACTGCCGACCTTAAGAGGGGGTGGTGGAGACCAGCCTCTCCAGGGGCTTTCCTGTTCTTGCATTCCTCTTCAATGCCCTTTTGCCACCAATGTCAAAGTTCCATCACGTCCCCAAAGTCACAGATCTCAAAGATTACAGCCCCCTGAATGAAACAAAATCCCTTATACACAAGCGCACAAGCCCTAGCAACAAATGCTATAACCTAGAGAGAGGTTCTCTGCACTAGAGTACGGAGAAGCAAGGCACACCCTATTTTTCTACATAGCATTCTTAAGATTTGCAGATTTCTAAAAGCAAGAAACATAACTGGAAGATTAAAGGCAACTTTTATTAAATATCAGCTATGTTGGGCTCTTTAAAAGGTACTAGAGATGTAGACCATTTAAGCATATTTTTATACGGGTTTATTCACAATAGGAGTTAAAAATCCAAAGGTATAAAAGCCTCCACATTCCCAAGTCTTTTAATCAAGTATCTTAAAGACATTCTCACTTTCTTGCTTGATAACTGTCATTTGGGCAAAGATAAAGTCTGACCTTCACTCTCACATTTTCTATCAGAGTCCCAATCTCTGAAGAGATTCCCAAGAGTTAATATTAATACCTATGGTCACAGTCTACACTAGTTATTTATTTTTTTTCCAACGTTTTTTTATTTTTTTTATTTTTGGGACAGAAAGAGACAGAGCATGAACGGGGGAGGGGCAGAGAGAGAGGGAGACACAGAATCGGAAACAGGCTCCAGGCTCCAAGCCATCAGCCCAGAGCCCGATGCGGGGCTCGAACTCATGGACCGCGAGATCGTGACCTGGCTGAAGTCGGACGCTTAACCGACTGTGCCACCCAGGCGCCCCAGCACACTAGTTATTTAAAGATAAATCATGTGCCATACAAAAGCTGAATTATTAATTTAATTCTCCAGATCCAAACATAAGACATTAATAAGACATCCTATTGCATACAAGGTAGACAGTAAGCAACTTGTTAAATCTGCTTATAAGAAGTGATGAAGAATTTCAGGAAGACCTTAACCAAGTCTCTCTTTTCCAGCTGCTAGAATTCTTGCAATACCTCAAAGCATCTTTCAGGGCATTAGGCCCTGGCCAGCCTCTCAACTGAAGTGTAAGTTTAATTAATTTTTCTAGCTGAGATTTATTAACCCTGAAATATACAGAGAAGCTAACACAGATAAGACCACCTGTTGCCTCCAATCCTCAAAGGAATTCCTCCCAGGAGCACAGGAGAAAGCCTTCCAAAGACTATGTCAGAGGCAGGCATCTGCCCCAGGGTGGGACAAATGAAAGTACCCTGAGTTGGGCCTACTTCTGCCCCAGAGTCTGGCCAAGTAGTAGAAAACACAGAGTTGTAGGAGGAAGGAAAACGGATGAAGCCAGAACAACAGCAAATAGACTGCTCTCAATTTAGGATGGCTTAAAACATATCTTGCTTACAAAGAGACCATATACATTACTAAAGGTTCCACACTGACCAAAAGAAACTAAAATCCTAAATCCTAAACTAAAATTCAGTGGAAATCAATCCCTTTATAGATAAGTCATTCTACTAGACACCAAAAATGATGCACAGTGACAGACTAGCTTGCTTCAAATTCACCAAAGATACATAATATATGGCAAGCTCCTTTTGTTATGTTTGGTGTTCTCATCAAATTAAGGTTTACATGGGAGTTAGCAGTAATGAAAAAAAAATAAAAAAGCAACTCAAAAGACTATATGCTGTGCTGCATAATGGTTTTCACTACAATATTTAGCTGCAAAGTGAGCAACGAGACATTTTGGGAGAGATATAAATCTCAAACGTTAAAGTTTCAGAGAAAGGAGCACATTCATTACAGCTTCATAATGAAAGTTCCTTTAAAAAAAAAAAAAAAAGTCATAAGCTAAGGAAACACAGAGCAACATGCTCTATCTTCCACATCAGACCTTTTCTGCAGACAGACTGAGGCCTGAACATCAGGCAAAGAACTACTATGAGATAGTATACTATTAAGTGGCTGAGAGCCTAGACTCCACAGGCCACCTGTTCAAATCTCAGCTTTTAGTTGTGTGACTTTGGGCAAGTTAATCTCTCTGTGCCTCAGGTTCCTCATCTACTAGCGGTGGGGATCGAGTTTATCCTGTAAGACACAGAGGTTGATGTCAGACATACAAGAGTTGGACTTACAGAGTGTTTATCCTGTCCACCTGTTTGGGAATTCAGTGGCTCTCCAAAACCAAATCAGTAAAAAGTGCTTTCTTCCTGAAATGAAAATCCAGTCCTGAAAATCTGAGAACGGCAACCTTAAGTATAAAAAGCTCCACCTTCCAAATCCTCTTCCTTGCACACAAAACAGAATACATACAAGAGCCTTCTCTTCCAGCAACCACTGCCACTTTCCATCAAATGCATTCTGCTCTATGCAGAACTTCAGCCCCCTGAGGAGGACTAAGGCTGGATATTAAAATATTGGAATTAACTTTGCCGAAGATTTCCCAGTAACTGAATGCGTCACTCACTTCTTTAGAAACAGTAAAATGTCAAGGTTGCCAGAAAACCCCAGCCGCAGATGTTTGCATAAATCACTTCCAAGTGATCACCAAGCCAAAGCCAAAGGACATTATTCAAGATAACAGCTTAAGTAAAATATATCAGCTTTTATGATTTTTCCTGTAATGGAGAAAATTCTGAAAATGTGATTACTGGGGTGAAAAAAAAAATCACAGCAAGTTTAGTCCCCAAATTATACAACATATTAAGCAAGGCTTAGAATTCCTTTTGCTATGGCTTCACAGGGTGAACTCCCCACCCGCTTTTATAACTTTTATCCAGTCTCATGAACAGGCACTGGACAGACTCTGAAGTGAAGATTGAAAGATGCTCCACAGTGCTTACTACCTAAGAAGAAGCTTTTAAATTTTTTGAAACATGTTTGCAACATGTTTCTAATACCTATCACCTGCAAAACATTTTGAGGGCTCTGTATGGATGACAGCATCCACAAAGAGGTCTTTTTTCACTTTCACAATTTAATTTTAATTAAATTCAAGCCTTTCGCCCTAGCATAACACAAGAACAAATGGCAAGGATATTCTCTGGCACTTACATGGTCAGAAAAGAAAAAAAACAAAAAACAAAAAAACCTCGTCAACCTGTTCAATATCCCTGGGTCGAGTAGTTAGATCAGCTTGTCACGGCTTTGAGATCTTCAGGTTCATTCATTACAGAGTATACACAACAACCAGTTTTACTAAAATTTCTTAACTGCACAGGTCAGGGGCAAAGAAATTGAAACTGAAATCGCACACGCGGCGCGGTATCCTTACAAACAGAACCGGTTGTCTGTTTGCTTATTTTTAGTAACTTTAAATAAAAGACTTAAGACCAGTGGTTTCCCAACTCGATGGAGAATTTGACCACTGGGCGCAGGACTGAGCGCCCCACAGCTTCCGGCTTGAGTATAACACGCGCTTCCCTACTGGGCTCCCACGTCTGCTCCAAACAAACCCTATGTAATAGCTGAAGAATGACGACACTAAAATCAACCCTACAGATTCACATCTAAGAGGTCTGCAACACGAAATAAACTTTTGCTTATTTCTCGAGAGACAGTGGGGTGAAAAAACAGACCAGATGGGGTCTGTCTGATCAATTTTGGCGACTGGGGGCGCTCAGGGGGGGGGTCTGTGCAGCTTAACCCTGTGTGTGCCGCGGGGCTGCCCAAGAGCGGTAATCGGGCGCTGCGTCGGTTCCCCAACCGGCAGGTGCCCCAGGCCACCCCAGCAGGCCCGAATGCGAGTGCGGGAACATGGCCACTACCCTGGAGCGCGATCCCGCCACCGCATGCCGCCCGGCACTTTGTTAACTCGGCGCGCCCGCAAGGAGGAGGCTCACGGGTCGCCGGCACCGTCGTCCGAACGCTGCAGAGCCGAGGCTGTAGGAGGCTCGGAGCCTCCTCCAGTTCGGCCTCGCCCTGCCCCGGCGCGGAACCTCGGCGGGAGGAAGAGGTCGCGAAGCAGCGGGGAACACGGGCCCCCACGCCTACGCTCGTGGAGCCCCACGCCGGTGCTTACCTGAGGAAAAGAACCCTCGCGGCGCGGGCTCTTGGGGTAGTCTAAGTGACCCCGGTCCAGCATCAGGTAGAGCGAGAAGATCACCACACAGAAGATCGCGCTGCCGAACACGGTGAACTGCCGGCTTAACTTCATTTTCCTCGATACACTCGGGGCTAGGACACTGTCCTCACCAAAGGAGGAGGAGGGCTGTGGACTCCTGCAAGCGGCCGCCGGAGGCTCTCTGCTCCCGGGCTCCTGCTCTCCGCGCTTTCGGCTGTGGGTGCGGATTCCGACCGCACTCCGCACCTTGTCTCCGGCGCCACCACGCGCCCTCGGCCTTCGCCCGGGCCCACCGCCCTCCCTGGGGTCGGGCGTCCCCTCCTAAGGCGGGACCCGCCTGCAGCCCGGAAAGGGCCCCGCAAACTTGATCTCGAGCTTGGCGCCGGCACCCGGCAGGGCGCGTAGGGCAGGAGGAGAAGAGGTCGCTGTCCGGACTTCCTGCCACCGCCGCCCCGACCGAGTCAGCAGGAAAAGTTTTCTAGAGGAGGGCAGGCGTGTCCCCCTCACCCAAGAGATGCGGGATCGGCGGAGCTGGGGTAGACAGCACCGAGCTGCGTCTGAGCAGCCCAGGGTAAAAGAATCGGGTCGGGAGGAGCCCGGCCCCACAACTTAGCGCCGGGACGGCCAGACCCGCCCCCGCGGCGCCGCCCCCGCCAGAGCGCCTTCCTGCTGCCGCCGCCACCGCCGCCGCCGAGGCCGGGCCAGGGTGCACCCCGGGCGCGGGGACGCACGGAACGGGCAGGAGTTTCTTCCGAGCGCGCGTCCGCCAGCCGGCCTCTCCCGCCCCCCGGCGCCCCTTCCTCTCCCCTCCCGGACCCGGGCTGCGCGGGGAGGGCGCAGGGGGCGGGCGGCGGCGGCGCGCGGAGGAGGAAAAGGAGAGCAAGAAGAGGAGCGTCCCCGGAGAGAAGCCCGCTCCAGCTGCAGCCGCAAGTCCCCTCCCTCCTTCCCGCCCTGTAAATGCGGAGATGGCGGCGGCAGCTGCGAAACGAAGCGCCGGTTCTCCAGCGCCACTCGGCGCTCCTACAACGTCCGCCACGAGCAGGAGGAAACTGCCGCGGCGAGGCGGCTGCTGGGTCAATACGCGCCCGCAGCCCTGGAGCAGAGCAGGCGGCTGGCCCCGCCCATTCTCGACGCGCCGGGATGGGGCGGGGCCTCAGGTGCCCAATCACAGTGGGCCGCCCAACGGGCCCGCCCCGCACCCTCCTCCCTGAGCCCAGGCGGAGAGAAGACCTCGGACGGCTTTTGTGAACTGGCAGGCAGCCTGGGTGGAGGTGAGGCCCTCTGAGGCCTTCAGACGCTAGCAGCCCACGTTCCACAGAGTGTGAGCTTTCTCCTCATTTCCTTTTTGGTGCCCAGGTTTCCTGTCCTTGAGGAACCGGGCCTGGCGTGTCTGGGACGGCAACTTGGTGAGGAGCTGTAGAAATAGAGGAGAAAGGGGCTTCTCATTAAGTTCAGGCTTCTCTTTTCCTCTGTTGCTTTTGGTGACTTCCTGATGAAACGTGAAGGAAAGGAGACTGCCAACGACAGCTGGCTACAAAATCTATGAGTGGAGCCTAAGAAGTAATGGTCGTGGGGGTTAGTGTTTAATTGCTGCTCAATCCCAAATCCACCCTTTTTGACTGCACCGTGAAAATGGATCTGGGCCCTTTTAAGTAAGTTTTTCTTTGCCAGCAGGTGCTGAAGCTTTGTCAGTAGAGGGCGCTGAAGAGACATCGCAGGAAGAAAAGGGTTTTGCTTCTTGGTTTTGGTATATGGATAGGCAGGCGCTTGCAGTATACCTGGCTTTCTCCAGTGCCAAGCTCCACTAGTGGTTGGAGGTCAGAAATTTCCTCCATCATTCCTAACTCTAGTGGTTCTGTAGAGGAGGCCCTAAAGTGAGCCACTACCCATGAATAACTCTCCAGGCTCTGTAGAGAAAAGATTTGTATTAGGTTCCACAGGGTAGTGTTCTGTAGGTGTGACTTCTCTGCCATTCAGTGAGCCAGAGTTTGAGGACTCTGCCCTCTCCAATAAAGTCTGGATCTTAGCCCTGTGAGGGGCTGGCAAGCTCCTCTTTGGGGAGCTCTGTCCCAGCCCAGGGGTTAATTATAAGATTTGCTCCTTAAAACTGCTGTTTCTATATCCTCTAGGGGTTATCTTCCCCCTAGTGAATCCCTCATTAATTATCTATTATAGTTTATAATATTTTTGCTTAAGCTTTTTATTTTTTATTAAGCTTTACCTGTAACCGCAAGAGATGAGGTTAGGAATTTGGTTTGATTGGGTCTTTGGCTTGAGCTCGATGCTGAACTCCCTGCCAAAGGGAAATAAGATGCTAGTGATTCATGGCACCCGGGGCATCCCAATAAATCAATGTCCTGTGGCTGATTGTGATGAAATACCAACTAAACCATGTGCCTTGGGGGCCCAAGTAGCTGTGGCTGTAAGGTGACTGGTATGGCTGTAAGGTGACTACAAGGACTATGGTGTGATATGGATTCTTTTGAGTTCCTTTGAATGCTTACAAAGAGAAACGACAAGCACAGATCAAAGTTATGACATGAAAACCAGAGAGCTTCCATAACAACTCTTAAGAGAATTTCAGATAAATGATATTTCTGAAAATTAAACACAAAATTAAAAATTTCTGGTTACTGAATTACAACTTCCATTGAATTCACAGATGTGCCAAGTTTCTCATGCAAAAGTTAGGGTATTGGTTATTAAATAATAGGACTTCAAAACTGAGAATGGGTTGGGCCCAGATGAAACTGGCAATTTTGAAACATTAAGTCACTCTGGGCCTTTCTTACCAGTGGAAGTAGTTTGCTCTCCAGTGTCTGAGGAGGTAGATTTCCTCTGCTTGAAAGCTTTGTGACAACCTCACCTGGGGACGATGCTTGAAAGGGAATATATATTCTCCTCAAAACCCACCACAATCACCCTCTGATGCCACTATAGTCTTAACTCTGCATGCTCTTGGGGGATAGGTTCACACCAAGGTAACTACAATGTGGTTACTATGTTAATACATAGGCAGAAACCTTTTGAACATGTGTGGGAGTGGCTTCTACCAGCATCAGACCATGGAGGGTGGAGTAGAACACTATATTGAACCAAATTCATTGTTAGGATGTCAATTTTTTGTTTTAGCTTATGCAGCTAGAGGTGGTTCTAACAGTTTGGTTGATTGAAACTTGGACTCATTGGTGGCATACAATTGTTGAAGTTGAGGTGCCCAACTTTCCCAGACATGTGGAACAGGGAATCCATGGTTTAGGGAAATGTTATACTTATCATATACAATCTGCATACCCGTCTTCAACTGTGTTCCATCAAAGGCCCAGAGACACTCCCTAAGCCGAAAAAATGAGAAATAAATTAGTGAGAAGAAGACATGAATCTTTGAAAATCTGTATGGATGTCCCCCTCTGTAGGCCATGTATGATTATAGAGGATGTACCATTGATTTGGGCATCTGGATTTCAGTGGAGATGACAGAACCTAATAGCAAGAGGACAAGTGGCACTTGGGTATCACATATAATTTGGTTACATTTGTGTTACAGGGCAACGACAAGTATGTATAGGCACTCAGACTGCCTTGGCCCACAGAGGTGCCCTAGGAACAAAACAGATAGGCAACCGAATAAGAGTACTGCTTGATATTTATAATAGGAAAACCTGTAAGTCAGGTAGGTAAAATCTAACTTGAGTTAGTATAGTGGACAATCACAGCTTCTCACTCAGTTTTCACACCTAAACCAATTCACAGACTCAAAAACCCCTTGACTGAAGGAGACTCCTTCAGGAAGGACCCTTCACCTTTGCTACAATACACAGTGTAAATGCTCCCTTAAGCGCTGTGTGGCCATTTACTAGAGTGACAGTACATTGAAGAAAATGAAATATGCAAATCTTTTGAGGTTTATTAGACACTGGATCTGAACTGATGCTAATCCCTAAGAATAAAAAACACCACTTTTATGATTCAACCAAAGTTGGAGTTTATCTTGGTCAGTAGTTAAATGAAGTCTTAGCTCATGTCCTACTCACAGTTGGTCCTGTTAATTCATTTGATCCACACACCAACTGTATGGTTATTTTTTCAGTTCTAGAACTGACAATACCCCCCGCCCATTGGCTTTTTTTCCCATGAGATGAGGGCCATTATGATAAGAAGACCTGTATGGGAAACTCCTGGATATTTCACTGTCTTCCAAGATAGCAAACCAGAAACAATACCACCAGAAAAGACTTGAAAGAAGCAATGGTGGTGATACCTATCACATTCCCACTTAACTCACCTATTTAGCCAGTGCAAAAGTCATATGGATCTTGGAAAATGTGGATTACTATAAACTTAATCAGGAGGTAATTCCAATTGTGGCTTTTGTCCCAGATGCAGTATTTTTACTGGAACAAATCAACATAGCACCTGGTACTTGGTATACAGCTATTGATATAGCTAATGCCATCTTTTCTATACTTATTTATAAAAAAAACCATCAGAAGCAGTTGGTGATTACCTAACAGGGCCAATGGAGTGCCTTTACAGGGTTACCTCGGGGGCACATCAATTCTCCTTAATATAGCCTACAGAAATGTTGATCCTCTTGACATTCCACAAAGCATCACACTGGTTCATTTTGGTTGTTCAAAATGACAACATTATGCTAATTGTATCTGATGAACTGGAAGTAGCAGGTATTTCAGATGTCTTGGTATGGTATATTTGAATTAGAGGGCAGGAGAAACTAATCATGAGCATGAGATGACAACTCTAAAGTGGTCCTGGCATGTCCCACACTTTTAGGGTAGGACAAGTTCTAGGATGGTACAAGCTCTACCAAAAAAAAAAAAAAAAAAAAAAAAAAAAAAAAAAAAAAAAAAAAAAAAAAAAAAAAAAAAGCCACTGAGAGATGAGATGAATCCAAGAAAATGGCATAGGTTAGAAATGATGAGTATTGGGAAAAAGAATAAAGTGATTGCTGCAGAGACTGGTCATACCAATCATGTGGCTATGGAAGGAAATCAACAGCCCAGCTGGTAGGAAAAGAATACCCTAAACCCTGGGAAGTCAGGGGTTGGGGAAAGAATCACTAAGCTTCTCTTGGCTCTCACTTGTAGGACACTTGACCTGGACTGTCCTCTCAGAATTCCTTTGTAAGCTTGAATATCCATCCTTAACTTAAATCCTGGGCTCTTAGATGTTAAAACTCAGATCCGTAGTTTTTAGATCTTAAACTAAGGACTGTTACCT